AAAATTAAAATAAATCCATCGGTCGTTTTGACCATAAAATGATATAACTTCTAATCAAAATATAACCTGATTTTTGAAATCAAAATTTCTAAACTGTTATTTACTTATTTTTCCTTACAGACTTCATTAACTTCAATAATAATGACATTAATATTGTAATAACATATACGAGTGGTTTTTAATCAAAAATAATGTTTTCTTCTTAATCAAACTTATTAATTCTTTAATGTTATCTTCATTTAATCAAAACAATTTTTAATTCTAATATTCCAAAGATGTTAATCGGACTTTAACTTAAAACACTATACCTTTTCTTTTTACTTTCCGGTCTAAGATAGGGTTATGTATACAAAATTTCGATACTAATTCTCTTCGCATATTATCTATATAACAACATTTTCCAGACGCGTTGTTCAACGAGAAGGAGAAATACAAGGCGATATGCGATGACCTGGACGGCACATTCGCCGAGCTCACAGGATACTAACCACCCTTTTAGCAATTAGTTTAAATCAATATTTTTCTTAATTACATGTAGCCTACAAATCCACCTGTTGAGATCATCTAGACGACAAATTGAAACAGTTTCTATCAATCTCCTATTACTTATCTTCTTTCATTAATTTTTAACTCGATAGCTCTTTGCGAGCATTTTCTATTATTTCCACTTCTTTACCCCTATAAATTTCTTTCTCTTACTAACAAACCTTAACCTCGGCGCCGATATTTAAGGGATTGTCGCTCTTTACGCTAGAGTACGCTTAGACAACATGCTGACAATCCTTTAGAAATCGCTTAGTGTAAGAGCCCCGCTTTTTATGTTGTGATTAACATGTCTTATGCTTTTCTGCTACCGTGGTGGATCAATGCTTCCAAGGTACTTAATATTTATTTTTTAATAATAATAATATATACAATAAAACGTTCCGTTTAAACTTATAAAAGCTTAGCTAACGCCAATAAACCAGTTTTAAAATTTCTAAACGTTCATTAATAATTTAAAAAAAAAACTATGTTTACTTCTGTATTTTCTCTTTTAAATCAATAATACTAATTTTAATGCAAAGGTATTGGTGGAAGGTTAAATATTCAGCTGTAATGGGATTTGTCAAGTTCACCAACCTGTTGTCGGGGATAATATTAATACTATTAATCGTACAGGTTTCCGTATAGTATTCGTGTTATAAAAGTAGACATAGTAGTAGATGACATGGCTTACTATGATGGGTTCTAGCCGGAGCTGATATTTATTCGACAAATAATTATTAGTTTTCGTGTCTGTTAAAATTCTGATTATCCTTGGGTATTTAATGAAAGAATCTATGAGTCATCATATTCAGGGAGATAAGGAAGAAGAAAAATACTCTCAAATATATTTTGTATTTACTTATATTCCGCCCAGTGGTCAACATCCGATAGTGTTGAAAAGTTGTTACAGCGGTCGAAATTGCCAAGGAGGATATCACAATCATTGCTCTTCACCAACACGTGGTGTTTTTAGGCTTACAATGTCCGTAAACCTTTATGTACGATCGTATAAAAATAATTAATGGTTCAGATTGAATAATATTTGAATAGTATCCAATATTGATCTGCTTGATACTCGTTTCGCAGAGTTATGAAGCCAATTAATTAAAATTAATGAGTCAACCTAAATCATTAATTTAATTCAGAATATTGATTTCATGTAGTAATTAGTCCCTTAGAAAAATTTGTAGCGTTTGCAAGCAAAAGATAATCATTTGTTCATGATTTCTTCAGATGAGCTGGGTATCAACAAGGACCGGTACAAGAGCTTGGCTGACGAGATGGACTCCACCTTCGCCGAGTTGGCTGGATACTAGACATCGCACTCCACAAATAAACACATTCACACAAACAATCAACCAACTTACGAATGCAGTCTTAACACTGCGTTTCTCCACAGTCAACACTAGAACAAATACTTTGTACACGTGATGTAATGATATTTATTATTATTTTATGTAAATTTATTTACGATTTTCAATAAAAAATAATTTATAAGAATGAGTTTACTTCAAAATACTCGCTTTTGTTATACCACCATATTTTTTAAATAAAATTGAAGTGGCCAACAAACTGACAGACTATCTTTTTTATATAGAATAGGGTGACAAACGAGCACACAGTTCACCTGATGGTCGGCTCGACGGGGGTCAAATTCGTTTGGTGAGTGTAGAGAACCGGAGACCCTTTTTACTGGAAACGAGACATTCCATCTTAGTTCTCACGGGTGACAACGTATCTGCCTTTTGATTTTATAGATTACAACTCAAAATAATAAAAAAACTGTGGTTACCAACCTGCTTGCCAAACGACACAACTACGGCAAATATAATATCTATATAATAGGTGAAAAAATCTGCATGCATTAAATAATGTTTATGTATTATTATTTTTTATATTTATATACTTTAATTTACATTCTTGTCCCTGCTTCATATATTTATTTCTGTATCACCTAAAGGTTGACTGGTAGAGAATATCTCAGGCATTAAGTCCGCCTATGGATCATGTTGTATGAAGTTTAAATACACAAATAAAATCTTTGGAGGAGTTCTATGTTCAGCACTGAACTTTTGATAGGCTTTACCATTAAAGGTAATGTGTTTTTTTTTAGTTCATTCGATCATTCTTAATTTAAAATATTAGTTGTAAGTGTACGAAAAGTATTAAGTAAAGAATAACTGCAATAAATTTACTGTCATTCCAGTCTGGATACTAGTGGAATCTTCAGTGTGATCTTTTCAAGGTTTTTGATAATGTAAAATATGGAATATAAATTGGAAAACAAAAGTATTATGGTACTTATGACCAAGCAATTGGCCTAATAATAATGACTCGTGTTTTAAAAATAGCAAGAAAATGTTAACTTAATTGGCATAATGATGTCAGGCTCACTGCTTTCAATGGGTATCCCACAGAAATTGAGACTTGATCTATTTCTGTTTTTTTTTTAAAGATGTGTAGTCAGGATATGGCGAAATGTTTTTTTTGCGACTTTGTCTTGTTATTATTAACCTTTTTTCTTGGTTCGACGCTAATAATTTTTTTAATATTTTTTATAGAATAATTATCCAGCCTCGAATGCAGATGAGTTGTCACGCCTGAAGGCTAAGATGGAATGCCTCTTTGCCAGTAATTGTAACAAGTGAGAGCGTACTCCTACCGTGGTTGGTACCTTGCTGTGCTGTAACTATATTATGGCTCTACCACTTAAAAAATATAAATCCATTAAACTTATACTTAACGGTTTACCCGGAATTACTCATATTGAGGCTTAAAGAAAATCTATTTGTTTTGAAGTAAAAAGTTTGAGCTTCGAATTTAGTATTGTCTTCCTATAGGATGATCTGTTGGTTCTTATTCCGCTGACATTAACATCGTGAAAGCTCGGCTATCACTAACAACGTCTCAGTGTACAGCGGCTCGCAGTTCGAATATAGTTCTGCGCCTCCCAGAGTCATTTTTGTATAATTCCTTGGAAAAACTAAACTACTCTTCCATAAGGTTTGGAGGACGAAGACTGTTTTAATCTAGACAAAATGTAATAAAAGTAGATTACAGTTAATTAGATAAGGATTTCTATGGGATTTGTACCTTTTTACTCTTAGGACTCACATAATTTGTTGTTTACTACTAACATATTTAAAGCTTCCTTTTTTGTTATATCAAGTATATATTTTCTTATATACTATAAAAAATTCCACCATACATTATTTACATATCATTTCGTCGATTTACTCAGCGTACGCCATGGAAGCTCTCAAGAGGCATGATTTTTTCCGACCAGTCGAATGATGTCATAACATTAGCTTATTACTTCTATTACTATCAACCGCACTAGTTGGAGTGACAAGTGGTAGAGTGTAGTGGTAGAGTCTATGGATGCAGGTGAGTCAGGACCGTGCTTTGTGGTATTACTTGGGGGAGGCCTATGTTCAGTAGTGGACTTGTGAAGTGTTGTACATATACCCAAAACATCCTTATGAAACAATTTGTCTATTAAATTATTTTTATAGGAAAAGGGTGACAAGCGAGCACACAGTCCACCTGATGGTAAGTGATGGCTGTGGTCCATAGAAATCTACATCCATCCTCGTTTGCGAATCAAAATGAAGATGCGTTGTCAGCCTTGAGGACTAAGATGGAATGCCTCTTTTCCAGTAAAAAGGGTCTCCGGATCTCTACACTCACCATACGAAACACAGCAGCATTAAGCTGCTATTTGACGCTGGTATTCTGTGAGAGCGTTGTCCTTCCCCGGTCGAGCCGACCCGAAACTGTATATACATATAAACAAATAGATTTTGAGATTAGCGTGGATCCTATAATTTATTATATGTTTATATTTCATCAAATATTTCCCACACTTAGAGGTGAAAATTTTCTCATAAAATTTACCAAATACTGAATTAATCTTTAGGCATAGGCATTTAAAAAGTCATTGAAATCGGTTACCAATCGGCATAATAATTGCTAATATTATTACATGCCAAAAATACAGTCAAATTGAAAACGTCCTTCTTTTTGAAGTCGTTTAAAAATAAATGATAAAGCTATTACCGCGTCTTCTCTGAATATGTTTAAGTTTTTGAATGCGTTAGTATATTTTAACGTTCCTTATACCTTGATAGAAGGTGAAACTAAATAAATTTTGACTTTTAACTTGTAGATTTCAGACTTTGTAAGATGGCGTGGAAGAAGATGGAAATTGGCGTAACTGTCAAATGACGTCTGTCCGTCACTAAATAGAGACACAGGACGCATGCGTAAGGCGCGGGAAACGCGCAAGCGTAACCACCCTCTAATCTCAAAGCTTAATCAATAGTGCAATAGTCATAGTAGTGACGACAGCCTGTGTTGCTCTTTTGATTTTCGCGTATTATAAAAAAGGAGATTTTCTGTAAACCGTTGCGAGAAAATTCATCAAAGTGTCGGTATCAAGCAGCGTCCTTCCTGGAGCCATCACGGTGAAGATGTTGATGCTTCAGGACGGTCCCGATATAGCTCCAGTCGAATCTTGTGAGTAATATATTACTTTAGCTTTTATAACATGTTAAATTTGAAATGCGTTGACGCAATACGTAGTAATAATAAATTTCACGCATAATATTTAAATAATTCTTACTTTCATTTTTGAAAGGAAAGTAGGGTGATTAAAAATGTCGTAAAAGTGTAATAATAAATGAAAATATACAAATGGTAGTTGACAGTCGCTTTATTTAGGAAATACATAAACGTATTGCTGATAGGCTGATACTATTAATAAAAAAGAACTATTTAATAAAAAAAAAGAATCATCTAAATTGGTTTACAATGAATGAAGATATCGCGTAACATAAACAGGTACAAAAAAAACAAACAGTCGCGTTAAAACCTCCTTGTTTTTTAAAGTTGGCTAAAATATTCAGCAATCATGTTCCTATACGAATAAAAGGTAAATTAAGAAGAATTAGTAATAATGACTATTCAATGCGCGACATTTTACCCTAGACTGAAACTCGTTGTTATTAGGCTTCCAGTTATACAATACCTAATACCAACAATATTATATTACACGTACATCGTTTGCTTTCTATTATGAAATTTATAACATAAATTAGCAACGAACAATACCGAGGTAATGCGCGTAAATATTGCCTGTCGGTAAAGCTCATTAGTAATATGATATCCCTTTTACTAAACACTGCTTCTTCGTAATCATTAGTTTTCTTTTGAATATAAAAATGGAAGTGTAAGTATCGAGGAAAAATCGTTCCGTGAGTATGGTGTATGTAAGGTGAAATAGTGCCTACATCTCTCGAAATTTGGACGTATGAGAAGTGACGAAGCTTTGCAGGACGATGAATCAAACTTGGCCGGTTTCTCTGTTGCGACACTTTATTTATTTATTTCGAAAACCAACAGCGTATACAGAAAATATTTAACACTAATGTAACAAACTAAAAGTATGACCAATAACAGGTTTCCCTCATATTGCTTGATGGTATATTGTTGTTGGAAGAAATACAAATAAAAACAATCCAAAAGACAAATCATAAGCAATTTAGTGTAACGAGGGTGGTCACAAGCTTACAGATATGTTGAATTCTTTGGAGGGTCTGGTAGATTGATATTACATATTACATAAATAATACATATATAAATAAAATAACTTATTTTGATTAATTATACTGGCAACCAAAAAATATATATTAAAAAAAGAAAGAAAAGAAAAGAGAATATTATATGGTTTTAACTGCAACTGCAATGCTCCTTAATGGTTTTCATGATGTCATGCCCAAACACAACCTTAGATTTCACATCACATTAACTGCAATCTTAACTTGCAAGGAACTTTAGTGAAGACAAGATCATCAAAATACTAATCCGGCAATGGGCAAGTGGCAATGGGCCCGCCATATAGCTCGAAGAACCGATAACCGATGGGGAAGAAAGGTCCTCGAGTGGCAGCCTCGTACCGGTAGGCGTAGTGTAGGTCGACCCCCCACTAGATGGAGTGACGACCTGGTAAGACATACAGGAAGTCGATGGATGCAGGTGGCTCAGGACCGTGCTTTGTGGCATTACTTGGGGGAGGCCTATGTTCAGCAGTGGACTTATGAAGGGCTGTAATGATGATGAATGATGATGATGATCAAAATACAACCAACAGTTGTTTTTCTTTGTTATACGTTTGTATGCGTTTTGCACATTATTCAGCAGCAACACAAGGATCTAACTGAAACAGAAAGAAAGAATTTATCAACAATCTTCATTTTTACTGTTTTGTATCAGCCCACTGCAGCACATGGAACTCTCCTAATCTGTCGCAGATGCTTATGATGTCTCCGATGTGGGTAGTTTACTTTTAGCATAAGCAAGATGGAATCTACGAATAAGATCTACAAGTGGCCAAAAGATCTTTCTAACTTTTACCATAGTTGCTTGTTATGATTCTCACGGGAAGAAATATCGCGATAGATGCTCTTGCGCTGTCATCACAGCGTGCACTGTGACAACCACTGAGTCATAATCAGAAATATCAATTTATTTTTTATTTACGATCAATCAATAAGTACAATTTAAGTTATAAAAACAAATAAAATATTCGAAAAAATGCATAGAATAAGTAGTTCTTGTATGAAGAAAATTAAAAAAGAGCAAAGGTAACATCAAATATTATTTAAATTCATACTGCATCTTCATTTCGCAAAGTATAATATATTAGTAATCGTTGTTTCACAAGATTTTTGATAAAAGTATTCAAAATTTTGTTTTTACTATTCTCTACGATTGATTATCTTTTTTATTTATTCATTACCTTTTTTCCACACTTATATTTGGATAGTAGTGATATTGTTATTGTGACCGTTAAATAAATCAAGTTCATGTAGTATGTAAGTATATGTCATTATAATTATTGAGAAATCTTGGAATACCTTTTAATCTAACTTTTCAACCTGCAAAACGCGACTTCGCCCTAATGATTTCCCACTTAAAAGCTAACAATTAAATATGACGTCTATAGCCTGGAGCGTCGTCTGAATGCATACTTCATTTTCTTTTTTCCGTCATTTTCACTTTATAAGCCTGAATTAAAACAATGTTACTGTTTGCAATAAATTTTGCAAAATATCACTAATATTCAAAAACAAACAATATTTGATTAAAAAAAGCAAATGTATAAAATATTTGTGGAATATTTTTCATCGATTGTATTAAAGTCGAATAAAAACCGGTTATTACTAGGTACTAGGTTTATTTCTTTTGGCATAATTTAATTTTATAAACTAGTACGTTATTTCAACTCAAATAGTAACAGTACAGATGTGAATACTTACTTTAAACTTTTATGTGTAATTTCATCATAAAAACCAGTGTATGGATGACACTGACACCGAGAGGGTTAGTGTCATCCATGTGACGGTGTGACAGCGTAGAGGATTCGTAAAATAATATTGTAAAAAAATCTAGTAATTATAAAAAATATAATAATTCCTTACATTCTTTAATACCGGTGAATGAATATACAATTACGCCAAATATCAAATTAATAGCATGCAAATAACCCCGTGAGATTAATAGAAGTCAGTTATTTATTTATATATTACAGACAGACACTTCAATTTAATTTATTTTATTTATGTATGGATTAAAGAAATTTATAGAATATAACCCCCCTTTGATTTCTTATATTTACACGAACACTACACATTCGAGCACTTTACAGCGCCCATGGGTGCTGTAAAATGCTCGAAACGTCGGGAATATAAAAAAGTTAATACACGCGATGAAACCCGTAAAAACTAGTTTTATTTTTTATCTTTTACTCGCATCATAACCGGTGGCAAGTCTGCATCTCCCACATCTTTTAAGAAGTAATTGTTTTTAACCCGATTACCGTTATGTTATAAAGTTATATTTCGAATAGTGTTTTAAACACAGTCTACACTTCTAGAGGACAATGAGCAATTTTTTTTTCTGTAATAAACTTTATTTAAATTCTCATACTTACATCTCTTACATACAAGAGAACGTAGACGTTTTACGATGGCTATAGGTGGGCACTTAATATTGAATATAATTGCCTTAATATTGAATATTTTGAAATCGTTATCCCAATTTTGTAACAGTTGTAAGATCGTTTAACTTTATCGTTAGATATAGCTATGAAAACGTCGATCTGTTTAGATTTTCGGAAATGAGAAAATTTTATATATTTAAAGCTTAAGGTTTCGTGCGGTGTCTGTAAGTCACCTATTAAAATAAATTGTTTCAATTTCAACTAGCTAACATCTTTTTTCGTTACGTATACCTCAAAACTTACAAATAATAATCTAAAACGGCACTTTTATATAGATCCCTTCATCAGTCATCGTCCCCAGTCTCGTTCATTAGTCAATAAAGTCTCGTACGCACCATTTGGAGAAAAGTTCACTTTGAAGTATGGCCTCAAAAAATTAAAAATCGGGGTACGTTTATTTTATTTCTGAGGTTTTAGTATAAAATAATAATCAATAGTATAAAAATTTATAATCATCATCATCATCATCATCATTACAGCCCTTCACAAGTCCACTGCTGAACATAGGCCTCCCCCAAGTAACGCCACAAAGCACGGTCCTGAGCCACCTGCATCCATCGACTTCCTGCATGTCTTACCAGGTCGTCACTCCATCTAGTGGGGGGCGCCCTACACTACGCCTACCGGTACGAGGCTGCCACTCGAGAACCTTTCTTCCCCATCGGTTATCGGTTCTTCGAGCTATATGGCCGGCCCATTGCCACTTTAGCTTACTAATCCGTTGGGCTATGTCGGTCACTCTGGTTTTACTGCGGATATCCTCATTTCTGAGCCTATCACGCAGAGAAACTCCGAGCATAGCCCTCTCCATAGCTCGCTGAGCGACCTTGAGCGTCCTCATACGGCCAGCAGTGAAGGACCACGTCTAAAAATTTATAATAATTAATTTAATTTTCCAACTAAAAATAACGCTTGTAGCAAAAGTACCTACGACGTAGACGGTCTACGTCGTAGCGCTGTTACAAAACATTAACTTATTTAAATGCTTGTATGGGCATGTCAATTAATGCCACTTTTTGAACTTTAAAATGTATATTCTAGTAGTTGTGTAACAAAATAGTGTGTGTGTGTGTGTGTGTTTAATAGAAATAAGTAATTCTGTTTTTTTTTTTATACATTAGCTTATTTTATTATATTTTGTTAAGCGTGAAAACATATTAAAATGATGATGAATAAAAATTGATAAAAGTGTGTTTAGTGTTTCATAATTTTCGTTACTGTGAATAAAATGTTAAAATCCCTTGTATCCTCTCCCATGACCTACGTATATATAGAATTGACGTTGAAAGATAAAACGGGGTTGATCCAAAAATTTAATCTTATTTAAATACTTTATAGTTCGTATATATAAGTTCACTTCTTCATCTTTTTGAATTATGCAGCGTAAATTAAGATAAATCTTATGTGCAAGTGCAATTTCTTTGGCTCGAAGGGAGAAGAATCTTGTTCTTATAGA